CGATTTTAACTCGTCGAGTACCAGTTTTGTAGACACAATTATAGAACAATAGGTTGCGGTCACCGGTGACCGCTTGGTGTTTGACAGTTTAATATTGTTTCATTACCTAACTGAAGGACTTACTGGATTTTTAATTTTCATACCCTGTCATCGTCCCTATTATGCATGACGGCATGATTGGTGCGGTGGCCGGGCAACCGCCTGCTGCACAACGTGTCGCGGGATTCCCGCACGGTGCAACTCTTTGGGTGAACAACATATTATTGTCCCATGTCTTTTTTTTTAAGGGGGGAAAATCATCGATTGACTGTTCGAATCTGCAACGAATGATACTTAGATAAAACGAATCAAAGTTTAGGAGTGGGAGCTAAAACGTAATTTCTACGTATAAAACGTACCTAGAAGTGACGTCACGCGACATTTCAAGTCAATATATCGTCGAAAGTATTTGTTTCTGTAAGAAAATAAAAAATACGTGTGTAATGTTTTAAAATAATCTACCAGACGGATATTGAATTAAAATTAGGATACTATCGTATTGCTAGGTAACCATTACAAGGTTCTGATTAAGGCGATTAGGATATTAACTACATTATGTAGATGGAATTGTACCCCATCTATGGCAATAGGCTCACCCCCTATTACATAAGACTCATAGTATAAATAGTGAAAAGTGAGTGGTACATTGTACAGTGGAAATAAGTGCCGTAATGTGCACCTCTGACTACGCCTTCAGGGATAAAAGGTGTGATGTTATATTATGTTACTAACTTATGCCCGCGACTTCGTACGCACAGTCCCGTTCTTTCCCGTTCCCGTTCGTGATTTTTGGGAAAAAGTTTAAAAAAGAATTGGATAAAAAGTATCCTATGTCCGTCCCCTGGGTTTAATCTACCTCCTTACCAATTGTCATCCAAATCGATGTACCGTTTTGAGTTATAAATAGTGTAACTAACACGACTTTCTTTTATATATAGATTTTTAAGTGACCATTCTTAAATGCGAGATTCCACCACCGTCGCCTTTAAAATCGACCCCTAAACTAAATAAAATTAACACATCATCAGCCTATAGATGTCCACTGCTGAGCCAAGCCTCTTCTCACACGGAGAAGGTTTGAGCATTAACCACTACGCTTCCTCAATGCGGGTTGGCGATTTCAAACTTATAATTAGAAATTATAAGTCCAGGTTTCCTCACGATGTTTTCCTTCACCGTTTGTCAGTGGTGTCTGAATAATCTTAGAAAGTACATATAACTCGGACAAAGTCACATTGGTACTTGTCGTTGGTAGGTTTCGAGTCCGCATCCTCATGCATGAGAAACGGGCGTCTTAAACCTCCGGGCCACCACGACCATTAGTTCGGTGCTGCGTAATAGACACCCACACCACTTACGAGTACACAGGTGCGTTGCCGGCCTTTTAAAAATGAATACGCTCTTTTCTTGAAGGTTTGAAGGTCGTATCGGTTAGTTAATACCGGCGACGCTACATGAGTTTCTATTCAAACGTCATCGTAGATAAGGAGACCATAAACATCGATGTCCAATGAGTTCCAACTGCGTAATTTCATGCTTTTATAACCATACTACCTTCTGTTAGCGGCTTTGCCCGCGTTCATGTGGAAAATGGAGCCCGTATTCAATTTCAGACCATAATACCTCTATTTTTTTTTTTATAGCGTATGCCGAGCAGATAAACGAGCAGACGGATCACCTGATGGTTATCAATTGGCGCCGCCCATGGACACTCGAAACACCAAGGCGTTACAAGTGCGTTACCGGCCTTTTGGGAATTTGAGGATTGTGGAGGATTCGGGGATTCGGGAGACGGGGACTAGGGAGGGGGGTAATTGGACCTCCGGTAACCTCACTCACACGACGAAACACAAAGCAAGCGTTGTTTTAGGTCGGTTTTCTGCTCGGCCGTGGTATCACTCCGGTCGAGCCGGCCCATTCGTGCCGAAGCATGGCTCTCTCACACTGATTATCTCACACTCTATTCCAAATTTCATCCCGATCGCTATAGCCGTATTGACGTGAAGCTGTGATAAACAATCATACATAGAAACTTTCCATATATAATATATGTAGGATGATGCAAGTTAGGTATACTATGAAACCCCGAAATTGATTAAACCTAGATAGCACCCTAGGCGGACATATTTTAGGGGCCTCCGTAACTCTATTCACCTACCGCCTGACGCAGGTCCTCACCGGTCATGGTAGTTTCGGGAGTTACCTGTGTCTGATGGGGCGGGAGGAAACGCCCGGGTGTCATCACTGCGAGGACCGCCCTGAGGACACGGTGGAACACACGGTGGGAGAATGCCCTTCGTGGGCTGAGCACCGCCGTGTCCTCAGGGAAGTGATCGGCGATGGCGACCTCTCGCGTCCGGGCCTAGTGCAGGCCATGATGCGGAGCGAGGGGGATTGGGATGCCGTCTCCTCCTTTTGCGAAGCAGTCATGCTAGCTAAGGAGGAGGCGGGACGCGTGAGGCAGCGAAGCGCTGCCTCCTCGCAACCCAGCCATCGCGAAGGACACACCGGGCGTCGGGGATCGCGGGACGATCTCCGGCCACCGTAAGCGCGGGCCTGCGGACGGCGAGCATGGGTGGCTCCCCGTCCGACCAGAAACAGACCCGAGCGTACGGCGCGTCGCGTTCCGCGCGCGCCTCAAAGAGCCATCAGACCACCACAGATGGGGCCCAATAGGGCCGATGCCGATTCGGAGTCGCGGAGAACCTAACGGGTAACCGGGGCTCCGGCTCGACGTGCAGGAGAAGGAACGGGGTGGTTTTTAGTCAGTAAGAGTCTGACACTCCCTCCCGCCTCACCCAGGCGGGGGCAGTCATTCGATGATTTTCCCCCCTTAAAAAAAAAAAAAAAAAAAAAAAAAAAAAAGGCAGTTGGGCAAGCGCCCTAGGCCTTAGCGATAATACGGCTCTTTTTTTTTAAGGGGGGAAAATTATCGAATTCCTGCTCCCGCCTGGGTAAGGCGGGAGGGAGTGTCAGAATTTAGACACCGCTGACAAACGGTGAAGGAAAACATCATGAGGAAACTTGGCCTTAAAATTTCTAATTATAAGTTTGAAATCGCCAACCCGCAGTAAGCAAGCGTGGTGGTTAATGCTCAAACCTTCTCAGTGTCCGAAGAGGATTTTGGTCAGCAGAGGACACTTATAGACTGTTGATGAAGATGATTATTCTTACAATCAGGTCAAATGAATTAATTCATTTGGAGTGTCGTGAAGTTTTCGCATTTGACATTACACAAATGGGAGCTTGGAACATGCGATAAAAATAATTGGTTACTAAATTACTACATTAACCGTACGAACATTGATTAGAACAAATATGTGATTATTATAATCGTTTGTGATACACGTGGCGCACACAGTACCAAGATTCGATTTGCAAGCTAGGTAACGTGAACATCGTACTCGCCTCACGCCTTTTACCTCGAAGGGGTAGCCAGAGGTGCACATTACGGCACTCAATGCCACTGTACAATATAACACCCACTTTTCACTATTTACGTTACGAGTCCCATGTAATAGGGGGTGAGCCTATTGCCATATACCAAGCACAATTCCAGATTTCGTGCTACTACTGAGATTTTTTTAAAAAACCCAGTAAAACTTTGCCCGGCCCGTGAAATGAACAGGAGACCTCTTGCCCAGCACTCGCACTAACGACCACTCGGTCAACGAGGTCATCATTAGACACAAGTTTTATGTAACAAGAAGCCAACAAAATTTCCGACCTTAGAACGTATACTATCTTACTATAACATTGTTTTTACAATAACTATAGTGAGACATATAAAATTAACTAAAATCACGGGTTACTCACGTGAATATACTGAGAAAAGATCTACTAGTTTCGAACCACAGAGGGGTTCTTCCTCATGAGCAGCGTGCTCACTGAGCTGCGCGACATCGCCGCGACCTAGTACTTACCTAGACCTAGTAGAGCTTTTCTCAGTGTATTCACGCGAGTAGCCCGTGATTTTAGTCAATTTAATATCTTTATATATATATATATATATACATATAATTCTGCTGTACGTGTGTATGTCATTGAACTCCTCCTAAACGGTTTGACCGATTTAAATGAATTTTTCTGTATGCGTTTGTGGGGTGCCCTGGATGGTTTAGTTTCACAAATTAGCCCGGCAGATGGCGTTGCAGTCGAAGTCTAGGTTATTTATCCCAAACGGCTGAATTGATTTGAATAAATTTTTGTTTTTACGTTCAAGTGGCTTAAAAAATCGGGATTTATTATAAATTCGAAAATAGGTGTGTATGTTAATACGCAATCACATTAAAATAGCTGAAAGGATCGAGACTTTTTTTCCGCAGGGAACGCGGACGAAGCCGTTAGCAGAGGCTATGTGGTGATAAAACATGAATGAGATCTCCAATTCTATCAGACCATTGACTGGAAGTAACAATGGCGTTGTATGTACCAAACAATTGGGTCATTAATTTGTTACGATCTATTATGAGAACAATACACTACATCGGATAGTGTACTGGTATTAGGAAGTTAGTTTTTACAAGCTTACACTTAACTTGCAGTATGTATGTGAAGTGGAATCTTGTAACTGAACTGTGAAGCAGATATCTTCAACCGATTGAACTGAAATATTGTATACATGTTCAGTTTGCATGCTTAGCTTTAACTTAACACAACATCACGCCTTTTATCCCCGAAGCGGTAGCCAGAGGTGAACATTACGGCACTTAATGCCACTGTACAATGTAACACCCACTTTTCACTATTTATGTTATGAGTCCCATGTAATAGGGGGTGAGCCTATTGCCATATACCGGGCACAATACAGACTCCGTGCTACAACTGAGAATTTTTAAAATCCCAGTAATACTTTGCCCGACCCGGGTATCGAACCCGAGACCCCTTAACTCGTTGAGTACCGTCATTGTAGACACAATTATAGAACAATAGGTTGCGGTCACCGGTGTCCTCGCGGTGTTTGACAGTTTAAACGGCAGTCGCACTTGCGACCGCTCGGCCAACGAGGCAGTTTTAATTTAAATACATAATAGCTAACAAAAACCGAATAATTCAAAAAATTGCATACGTACGAAATAACCGATACATCGATTAGTTTAAAAATATTCCTGATATGAACATGATTTATACAAACACCAAGAATTCTAAGATGAATTATTGTTCACAGATTCTGTACAAGAATTTCTGAATTAGAGATACGACCTTAAGTCCTAAACAATTAATTTCTTACGGCTATAGTCCGGAGCATCATACATAAATGTATAATACACGTACAACGCAAACATGATTAATAAAAGATCTTCCAAATGGCTTGTGGCACAAAAAAATATAAATATTCTTTTTAACTTATCAAATATTAATTCCTTAGCATTCCATCTTGGTCTTGGCTCAACTCTTCCGCGCACCTGAACTGAGCGCCCCAAAACTCTCCATATCTGTATCTGTAAAAATAAAAAAAAATAACGTTTAGAACGTGGTAGAAGCTAAAGGAGTATTTTCAGTGTGGGAAAGCTATGCTTCGGCACCAATGGGCCGGTGATACCACGGCCGAGCACAAAACTGACGTGAAAGCCCTATAACCCCCCCCCCCCTCTCCATTGTCCCCAATCCTTGAATCTCTAACAATCCTCAATTTTCTAATAGAGGCCCATAACGCACTTGTAACGCCTCTAGTGTTCTGGGTGTCCATTGGCGATGGCGATTGCTTACCATCAGTGATCCGTCTGCTCGTTTATATCCGTTATAAAAAAGAAAAAAAGGAACGGTGGCACTCTGTAGCGCCTGTATACCATCAGATGTATGAATGTGATGGAAGCTAAAGAAGTATGTAAGGAGCGTAGTAGGTGGCGCTCTGTAGTTTCTGTATACCATCAGATGTATGAATGCGATGGAAGCTAAAGAAGTATGTAAGGAGCGTAGTAGGTGGCGCTCTGTAGTTTCTGTATACCATCAGATAATGTGAAGCTAAAGTATTAGCACGCCACTGCAGCTCGATTTATCATCTCAATAGTCTTATCACTATATTTCATTCATTTCTTACAAATCTTTGTAAAACATATTACATAGATACCTACGAAACATTAATAAAATTACATGTTATCTTACACGCAGGAAATTGCTAAACATACACATATTATGTGCTAACTATTATGATAAAATAATCAAAACTGGACAACTTCGAACACTGCCCTATGCTATATCTTAAAAAAGAGTTATAGGTACTGTTTGACATGCCAATTTCAAGCATGAGAACATGGTACAATTGGAATGATGACAGGGTATGCAAATTAAAAATCGAATTAGTCCGTAAGTTAGGTAATTAAAAAATATTAGACACGTATTTTTTTATTTTGTCGTATAATAAAACAATACTTAGATGAAACGAATCAAAGTTTAGGAGTGGGAGCTAAAACGTCATTTCTACGTATAAAATGTACATAGAAGTGACGTCACGCGACATTTGAAATCAATATATCGCCGAAAGTATTCGTTTCTGTAAGAAAATAAAAAATACGTGGGTAATGATTTAAATTAATCTACCAGACGGACATTAAAATAAAATTTTGGCATCTACCGTATTGATCACTTGTCACTTAGCAGCATGTGTGTCGGAATCACAGGTCGGAATGTTGTTCAAAATGATCATTAAATTAACTAAAAATCGCGGGTTACTCACGTGAATATACTGAGAAAAGCTCTACTAGTTTCGAGTTTCGATGAGTGACCTGTGCAGCTGTGCAGTGAGCTGCGCGACGTCGCCGCGACCGCGCACGCTGCTCATGAGGAAGAACCTCTCTGTGGTTCGAAAGTAGTAGAGCTTTTCTCAGTATATTCACGTGAGTAACCCGCCATTTTAGTTAATATTTGTGAATGCTAAATAAAACGCCTTTTAGCATGCTATCTTAGAGCATACGCAACAGTACCTTCACGGTGGAGTTTCTCACTCGTTCTTCTACATAGGAATCTACACTTGGGAACGAGGAAATATAGCAACTGCAACAAGCTGCGCGACGTCGCCGCGACCGCGCACGCTGCTCATGAGGAAGAACCCCTCTGTGGTTCGAAAGTAGTAGAGCTTTTCTCAGTATATTCACGTGAGTAACCCGCGTTTTAACTTAATTTAGATGTACGTACTGTTGTTTTCTTTTATCAGAAATCCAATTTTTAACGATGGAATGGGCAGCAACGTTTTCTAAAATATCGGTGACTGCAGTGCAATCTTCGAATCGGCTATCAAACTTGGTGTTTATTTTTTTTATGGTATAAGCCCGTAAACGAGCAAACGGATCACCTGATGGTAAGCAATCGGCGCCGCCTGGGACCTCCGGTAATCTCAACATCAACGCTTGCTTCTTGCTTTGTGTTTCGTCGTGTGTATGAATGAGGTTACTGAAGGCCTAATTACCTCCTCCTTGTCGCGTAGAACCTAACGGGTAACCGGGGCTCCGGCTCGACGTGCAGGAGAAGGAACGGGGTGGTTTTTAGTCAGTAAGAGTCTGACACTCCCTCCCGCCTCACCCAGCCGGGAGCAGTCATTCGATGATTATCCCACATAAAAAAAAAATACCCACTCCCCAATCTTTCGAATCCCTGAATCCCCAACAATCTTCAAACTCCTAATCTCGAATAGGTCGCTAACGCACTTATAACACCTCTGTGTTCCGGGTGTCCAAGAGCGGCGCTGATTGCTTACCATCAGGTGATCCGTCTGCTCGTTTACCGGTTTATCCCATAAAAAAAGCAGTTTGCCATATGTCCATTCTGAGCAGCCTGATTAGAGATCGCAGTATTAAAGGTTCATGTTTATCAGAGAGCGCTGCTGCCGGGTCACTGTCAAAGACCCTTACTCGGGTATACGACACCGGCGGGAAGAGCTGGGAAGCTGGCTGACAAATATACATATTCAACTCTGACGTCATTGCACGACAAATCATGCTATGTACGAATTCAATAATGGAGGTTCTAACCTTAAAAATAAGGATGTAACACACAGATCCTTGACACAGATAACATATTTGTCTACTAATAAAATAATTCGTTTGTCTATATGTATGTATGTGCAGGGGAAAATAATTGATTAATTAGATTTTAATTGATCAATCACGATTACCCTTGAGACCTTGAGCGATGACCTCTATTTTGATTGGCGCAACCGACTGCAGTGATGTAGGTTCGATGCCTGCACGGACGATCTGTTTGTGTGATTCACTAACTTAAACTCGAAAGCATTTATTTCAAATTAACCATAATTTGGTACTTTTGAAACGTCAACAAATATAAAATAAATAATAGTCTGTCAGTCAGTCCGTCAGTGAAGCTAGGCGCTCGTTCCAAAATGTAGATTCGAATGGAGAAGAACGAGCAAGGAACTTCATTCGTTACTCTTTTAAAAAAAGTCTATTTTACAATGTGTATGACAAGGATTGAAAAGGGAATGTTACGCTGGTTTGGACATGTAGAAAGGATGGATGAAAGTAGAGTAACGAAAGAAGTATACAGAGCGGATATGAATGGGGCCGTCGGTGGAGGGCGCCCTAGACGGACATATAGTGACCAGATTGGCGATATATTAAAGAAGGGCCAAATTAAAAGTACCCTTAACCGACGAGCATGCATGAAAAGATTGATGACTGTTGATGAAGCGAAAGAGGTATGAAGGAATCGTAGTAATTGGTGTTCCTTAGTCTCTGCCTACCCCCATGGGAGACAGGCGAGAAGTTATGTATGTATGTATGTATGTACAATGTCTTAAATACATATTCCAACATAGTACATACATGTGAGAACAATGCAAAGACACGATTGATGCATAATACAAATTACAGAACTTACTAAAATAAAAAACAAAAACAAAGAGAAATTGTTATTCCAGGTCTGGGTGTGATGTGTATGTGAACTTGTATGTTTGTAAACGGACCCACGACACAGGCGACAATCCTCGTGTGGGACCAATGTTTTATCAATCAAATAGTTAGGTAATAAATAGTGAACGATGCCCTAATATGATCGTTCTATACTACTAATATTATAAACTAGCTGTTGCCCGCGACTTTGTCCGCGTAGAATAAAATTTTTAGGACATAACTTTGTTGCTATTTTCCAAAATAAAAGTAACCTGTTACACCAGGCAGGTATATGTACTAAACATCTACCTGCCAGTAAAAGTCCCGTCAAAATTGGTCCCACCATTCCAGAGATTAGCCAGTACAAAGTTGGGGAAGGGGAGGGTAATCAGGCCTCTGGTACCCGCACTCACACGACGAAACACAACGCAAGCCCTGTTTTACGTCGGGTTTCTGCTCGGCCGTGGTATCACTCCGGTCGAGCCAGCCCATTCGTGCCGAAGCATGGCTCTCCCACAGAGACCCAATTACCCTCCCTCCCCACCCCAGTCTCTCCAATCCCCGTATCCCTCACAATCCTCACAATCCTCTAATTCCCAAATCCCAAAAGGCTGGTAACACCCTTGGTGTTTCGGGTGTCTATCGGTGACGCCGATTGCTTACCATCAGGTGATCCGTTTGCTAGTTTACCGCCTTATCCTATAAAAAAGCATGGCTCTCCCACATAAAATAACAGTATCTACAAATATAGTACACCAAATAAAGTTCTGTCCACTCAAATTGGTCGCACAACTTAGCAAAAAAAAATGAAGCCGTGTCTTGTCGACGACATAAAAACAGTACGGACACGAGTTAATGAAATTTTTTCTGAAGTACTCATTCACGAACAAATAATGTTTGCAACTAGACCAAGAGTCGCAAAAAACCGTCTGACTCACAGTCACAAGTCAAGTGTGTATGTCTGTTGTCCCAGAAACTATTAAAAAGACACTAAGGCTAAGGACACACGGCGCGATTTTATCCCGCGCCCGCTGCGATTGCGGGCCCGCAACCTTTGTAGGTACAATATAGATGTATTTGTAAAAAATTAACTCGTCGAGTACCGTCATTATAGACACAATTATAGAACAATAGGTTGCGGTCACCGGTGACCGCTTGGTGATTGACAGTTTAAAGCAGTTTCACGACATGTTTTACGCCCGCGACGGTTGCGTTTGTTTGCGGCTCTCGCTGTATCGTCAGGCGCGGCATCCTGATTGTTTAACAGCCTGCCCGTCTTGCGATAATCAACAGCTAACTTTGCGGGCGATAATCGCAAACAGCGGTCTCGTGAATTTTGAAAATTCTACCTCCATTCCGTCACCGTCTCACCGCCTAATCAGAACCAGAACCGAAAGTACGGCGCGTCGCGTACCCCGCGCGCCTCAAAGAGCCATCAGACCACCACGGATGAGGCCCAATAGGGCTGATGCCGATACGGAGCCGCGGAGAACTTAAGGGTTACCGGGGCTCCGGCTCCAAGGGCAGGAGTAGGAACGGGGTGGTTTTTTATTTATTTATTTATTTATTTATTTATTTATTTAAGGACAACCAACAAA